TTTTTTTTTTCTTTCTCACCGAAGTGAACTGGAATGTGTTTCTGCAGATGCAAGGGGAGAAGAAACAACATCAAGACGAAGGTAATTATCCTGAAGTCAGAGGAGTGTGTACGATGAACAGGATGAAAACAAGGTATGTTGGCTAAAACTCCTCATAGGCACTTGCTGGAGAAATCCACTAAGTGAACAACACATCCTGCAGCCTGGAAACAACATTCATGGGGCCAAGAGGATTTCCAGGGCTATCTAGTTAGAGTGGTGAGTGGGCTTCCTTAACACATGGTATGAAGATAACGTTCCTAGGATCAGTGGGAGAATCACCGAAAGAACAGGTGATCATTTTATTTCAAAAATGAGTACCTTCCAAATCAGTGTGGTCTTTCTTAATGAGTAAAATTTAAATATATAATCACCATCCTTTCCTAAAAGCTACATATATGCTATGAGAAGAATGTCGTATTCTTAAATGTTTTGTGTTTTAATAATTCATGAATTAATTTAAAAAGTCAAGTTTCAAGTCAAAAATTTTCGTTAGTCTTTTTTTCTTTTCTTTCTTTCTTTCTTTTTTTTTTTTTTTTTTTTTTTTACAAAAATACTACAGCAGGATAAGCAGAACTGGGAAGGAAGAGATGAGAGAACAAATGACACTACACTGGAATGGGTGAACTTCAGGTCATCATGGCTACTGAAGAAAGTGTAAACTTGTAAGCTTCTATGATTTTATTTCTCTTCAGAAAACATTTAAGGAGGCTGCCTTTCCCCATGAGTGAAGAATGAAAAGTTCCCTAAGTAGCTGAATCTAAAGAGGACAAGAAAATACTGCTTTTCCTACCAGAAAATATCCCTCTCCTCACCTCCCCCTGCACAGCCCTCTCCCATCCCCCTGTAGCTTTCTGGGATCACAGAGAGAAAAGCCAGGAGTTTCTACCAGCAGGAGAGGGAGTCCTGAGTACAACCCAGAGGTCTCAGTGACAAGTAGACTCATGGGCAATGAGTAAAACTCATCTTGAATCAAATACACCATGTTAAAAAGAAAAAAAAAAAAGCCCCAGAAACCCACAAAGTGCCTTTCATGGAAGGTTAAAAAAGACTTTTGGTTCCATAAAGTACCGTTTTAGATTTGCTCTCTCTATGGGGGAGAAAAAGAATAACTAGAAAAACATTTTTAAATTTTCATTTTGGAATTCTGTTCTTTACCTTGTTCACAAGCTATTAGTTCTCATACCATTACCTCTCCACCTCAGAGCCCAGAAGTCAAATGGTCTCTTATTCCATATTTGCATAGTATTAACAATATTGTCTGGAGTTGAACTTCTACCTCCTTGCTTGCAACCAGATTTCTGAAGAGCACCAGTCCAATTTCATGTATTCAAAAACAACACATTAAGTGTCTATAGGCCAAGTATTGTGTCCCATTTAGCAGCAAGCGGTTCAAATTATTTGGAAAAAGTTCTTCTCCCAAGGGGTTGGAATTAGGCAGTTTTATCTGTGATTTCCGATTTTTCTCTCTGCATCATGCAGCGACGAACTATGCTATCGAAGCTTCCAAGGTAAAACAAAGCAATGGTGCGGAAAAGGCCCATGGTGACCACCTGCAAGATAAAGAGCGACATTTGACCTTCTCCCACGGTACAGCCCAACAGTTCATGCCAAGGTATCCGGGTCCCCAATAAACAGTTTACAAGACATCTTATAACCTGCTCCAAGGATAAGTATAATGAAAACTCTATAAACATCACTAAGTCCTGAAAATGAAGTACATGTACCCTGTATAGACTCTGCCAGATGGATAATCAAATATTTGTCCACTTAACAAATTCAAACAATAAACAGAACAAAATAGGTATTTCTTAGTAGGGTTAGGGTTATAGGAGGGGAAGGGCCACTCCAGCATCCCATATATCCAAACTACGATCAAGGTTTCTTTGGTTAAGGTGTGTGTTCTGAGTACCAAAGACTATACCAGGTACGGAAAACACTGTGGTAAGAAATACACAGTCCCTGCCCTCAATGATCTTATTCTCAGGCTGTAACGATAATCAGCTAACTAGACAATTACTGTTTTCAGAGGCAAAACAGCAATTACCAGACCCAACATTTCCTTCACTCTTTCCACTAGACTCTCACTCAAACAACTCCAAATGGGATTTTTAAAAGGCATAAAACTACAAAGAGAAACATTTTCAAATACACAAGATCTCACCAATTTGCCTCCCAGGTCCCAATTTTTTCAAAGAGCTACTGAAAAAGGTAAATGACCGAAGTGAGGAGGGCAACAAGGACACCAACACCATGTGACACGGGAGGCAGGGGACCCAGGGGAAGAGAGGCAGAGGCAAATCTCCAGCATGATCGCAAAGAGGGATGCCAGGCATCAGCTCTGCACCAGGCTCCTTAGGGTGGAGCCCCCAGAGGGCGTGGAAGCTCCACAGCCTTCCTCACATGCCCTGCCCCATCTACCTCTTCATCTGGCTGTTCATCTGTATCTTTTGTAATGTTTCTTTACAATAAACCAGTGGATATAAGTGTTTCCCAGAGTTCTATGAGCCATCCTAGCAAATGAATCAAACCCAAGGAGGGGTGGTTGAACCCCCAATTTATAGCTGATTGGACACAATTACAGATGACAATCTGTTACTTGTGATTGGTGTCTCAGGTGCAGGGCGGTTTTGTGACACTGAGCCCCTAAACTGTGGCATCCAGTATTATTTCCAGGCAGACAGTGTTAGACTTGAAGTGAATTACAGGAAACCCAGCTGGTGTCTGCTGAAGAACCCACCACTGCACAACTGACTGACTGGTTGCTGGCAGAGAGGAATCCCAAAACAGTTTTTGGTGACCAGAGATCACAAAAGTGTTCTGTGTTGATGGTTTAGTGAGAGAACAGAAAAAACACTTTGGTTTTTTCCCTTATATCCTCATAGCACTGATCTGGAAGAAACAATATTTGAAGATAAGAACTGAAGGAAGATTAGAAGTTGGTAGGCCATAGAGCAAATTCCAGAAAGAAGAGGAAGGGAAGGAAAAGAAAAGAGGCTCAAAAGGCAGGTGGGATGGCAGGTCAGAGGCCTGCACCTGGCACTGGATGGAGGCTTCATCCCAATATTGGTACAGCGGAACCACTGAAAGGCTTTCAAGCAAGGTGGATTTGCAGTTCAGAAAAACCAGTGTGGAAAACACGGTAACACACAGACTCCAGCCCACCCACGGGGTCTGGGGGCAGAGGGGGAACAGATCACAGTGATTGGGGGCTGCGCCCTGTCCCACGGGAGCAGCTACCACCTGTGCCCACCAGTGACAGCCAGGTGAGAATGCAGATCCTGTGCTACTAGACTTCTCATTTTCTAAGAAATCTGGGCGTTTTAGGTAAATCTGATTTTAAAACTATGTTGTTTGAACATGCAAGTTGATATCAGATGGACCAAACAGAATGCTTTACAGGCCTGTGGGACCCATTCACATACAATCTCTGGCTCACAAAATGTAGCAGCACCTAGGCCTGAGCTCTGGGAGTAGCAACAGGATTGTAGAAAGCAAAATGGATCTGAGGAATAGAGTAATGAGGATGGGACTGGGTCCCTGATGTGAGGGACAGAAGAAAGGGGTCAGGGACTACACCCCAGTTTCTGGCTAGGCACTTGTGTGAACATGAGAGCACAGATCTCAGAGACATACACAGCAGGAGGTGGGGGCCGGGGGAGGCATAAGGTAGGACACACACTAAATAGAAGATGTCTCGTGGCTTCCTAGGGAAAATATCTAAAAAACGTTTATATAGAACTAAAGTTCAGAAATCAATTATGGGCTGGAGTTTTGTCCTTGACATCATTCATATAGAAGTGGAAGTCATGAGAAGGGATGAGATTGTCTATGAAGAATGGGCAGAATTCACCCAGGAGGAGAGACAGGTTGGTTAAGGAGTACAAATGTAAGGTTAGAAGAAATATGTTCTAGAGTTTGGCAGAAATTATAGTTACCAATGATTTATTGTATATTTAAAAATAGCTAGCTAAAGGAGAAGTGTAATGTTTCCAAACTCAAGGATAAATGTTTGAAGTGATAGATATCGTATCATTACACATTGTATACACGTATCAAATATCACGTGTATCCCAAATATATGTACAAATAGGATATATCAATATAAATTTTGTTAAAAAAGAATTCACACATTCCTTCCACTCAGTGGTTCTAGAGCTCCTGCTGAGTGTCAGGTGCCAGCTGGGAGAGGTACAGTGAAAATCAAGAGAGACACAGACTCTGACCTCAAAGAGCTTACATCTAATAGAGTGTCGACCTCTAAGAGACAAAGGTAAGAAAGAGAGCTTCGGAAGGACATGAGGAAAGCCAACAACTCAGTCATCTGCATTAGTCTGACCAAGGTTGCACAAAATTTAGTGCATGTCATAAAGTAGTCCATGGCTTTGTTTCTCAGAGCAATCCCTCGAAGGTAACTCACATTACACTGTACCACCATCACCTTCCTGACAGTCTCTCCACTAGCTTGTGTGCCCCCTAGAGAAAGAGAGGTTGCCTTACGTGATTTTCCAGGACCAAACATGGCACCTGGGCCATCAGTGGACTATTGTTACCTTTTGTGTCTTGGATAAAACAATAAATTCCACAAGGGTGGGAATTGTGTTTCATCCTTGACTTACACTGTTACCTGACTCACCTAGAGTACCTGTTACCCTAGTAATCTGATACCCTAGTACTTTTAGTCAAGGCCACTCCAGACAGCAGAAAATTCCATTTTTCAAAATGCTTTGGAGTGGCAGTTCTTAGATCAAAGTCCAGATTCACACTCAGCAGCACAGGCAGTCTCTCATCTTTCTCTCTGCAAGGCCCAGAGTGGCACCCGACTTCCTAGTCTAAATTCCTGATGTTCTATCTTTAACCCATTTCCTATTTACTTATTCTTGGCAGAGAAAGAGGAAAAGTTGACAGCTCAATAAAAATTCGTCACATTCTCAAATAAAGTGACTAAGTGTTCCCTTGTCCTATTTCTGTCCAGTCCGATGAGAGGCAGTTCGTGTCTTGTCCATCCATATGTCTGTCTGTCTGATTGCTAGTCCAGGCAGAGCTTACCTGCTGAAGCCCTTCAGTAATAGACGTCACTGGAGCCATCCCACAGGTCAGGGCCGAGAGCATGTACCCATCTGAGCCAAAGGAACTATTAAAATTCCCTTGCTAAAAGGAAGAAAAAAGAAAGAGGCAATCGTAGTAATGTGGAAAGCAATCAGTTCAGCATATCAGAAATAATGCAGTGTGTTCATTCACTTCAGGTACAATAAGACGGATACACAGGCTCGGCAGATGGGGGCGTTTCACGAAACGTGAGTCCACAGACTCCTGCAGATTCCCAGGGACATGATGATAGTCATAGTCATCCTAAGACATTAATGACATTTTCCACCAGAGTGACACTGTGCTGACAGGCAAAACTGCAGGGGCATTAGCACAAATTTCAACGTTCTTGTCAGGCTGGACAAGTAGTCACCATCACCTCCACTGCACTTGCAGTAATAAATAAATACATAGAGAAAATATAATTTTTTAAAATCTTTAAAAATTAAAAAGTGTCAGTTTTGTTTTAAAATGCCCTTGATAAAGCAATAAAGTTCATCACTTTATTAAATCACAACCCTTGAGGACTTGTCCTCTTAAGACTTTGTGTCACAAATGAGAAATTGGCACCCAGCACTTCCTCCAAGTTGCACAGCAGAGGATGATGTGCACCCGAAGGAAAGCCCTTGTGCAAAACTGTTTAAATCAAGAGCTGAACTTGCTGCTTTTTTCAGACTTGAGTATGTGGCAGATTTATGGGAAAGAATGAAGAGAGCTGTCATTTCTCGGAAAACAAGTAGCTACCTGTGTGTAGTCAATGTTAAAATCTTTCCAGAAGAAATTAAGATTTGTAAAAGCTAGAATCTGCCATTGTGAGACTGTTGGGTTCCAAATACATAGGCTTTTATGATAAACCTGGCAGTGATATCGATGAATGTAGTTTTCTTTCTTTTTTTTTTTTGGTCACTCAGCGATCCCATATTTTCCAAATGACTAATGCATAATGTTACAAAATCATGAATGGTTAAAAGATCCATTCAAAGAGCAAGACAAACAGACCAATGAAATTTAATATAACAGAGAACAAAAAGGTCATTGATACAGTTTCCAATTCCATAGTGCAACAACCTTTAAGAAACTACCATTTGGCCTGATGCCCGTAGCACAGTAGCACAGTGGTTACAGCACCAGCCACGTACACCAAGGTTGGGAGGTTTGAAACCAGCCCAGGCCTGTTAGAGAACAGTGACAACTGCAACAAAAAATAGCTGGGCATTGTGGCAGGTGCTCGTAGTCCCAGCTATGTGGGAGGCTGAGGCAAGAGAATCACTTAAGCCCAAGAGTTGGAGGTTGCTATGAGCTATGACATGATGGCACCCTATCCAGGGCAACATTGTGAGACTCTGTCTCAAAAAAAAAAAAAAAAAAAAAAGAAAGAAAGAAAGAAAGAAAGAAAAAGAAAAGAAAAGAAACCATCTGTTGAGTTTGGGTTTAATATCAAAAAAGAATGTCCACAATGACTTAAAAGGCCTTTCCCAACTCCCTATCTGTGTAGGGCTGGGTTTTCTTCATATTCTTTAATTCAAATGACACATTACAATATATTAAATGCAGAAGCAGCTGTGAGACAGGCACTTCCTATTCACACAGACCTTAAAGAGACTGATGAAAATATAATAGACTAAAGTTCTCCAGGGCTGGCAACAATCTGTGAGAATGTGAGGTGGTCAAGAGAAGACAGGGTCTGAAAACCACCGTCTAAATGAACCCTGCCAGATACTAGGAGGGCTGAGCACCACCACAAACACCCTGTGGTTTGCCTTGACTTGAGATAAGCAAAACAAAGTCCACTCAAGCCACCGCACCATCTTCCTATGCCTTTTAATGCACTCAGGACAAAGTTCTCCACACCTGCATGTTTTCTCAGTCTTAGCATTTCTTTTACTTTTGCTCAGTCCACCTGATGCAACCGCTCTCATGCTACTTCAGGGCCCATCCTGCCATGTGCTGACACCCCTCATTCCCAAGAGCATAACGATTTTCCAAATTCAATGTGGTTTACAGACACCCCACATTAATGTATATTTTTTCTGCACATGGGTTAACAGGAATGTTATAAAGAAAGAAGTTGGCATAAATTATAGAAAAGTCTCATTTAAAAAAATGTTTGTATATTAAGACACAGGTTGGGAAACCCTGCCCTCCTAAGCTGGAGTACATTGGTATGATCATTGCTCACCCCAGCCTGAAACTCCTGGGCTCATGTGATCGCCTTATCTCAGCTTCCCAAGTAGCTAGGGACACTGGCATATGCCACCATGCCTGGGTACTTTTATTTTTTTATAGAGATGGGGTCTTGCTACATTGTCCAGGCTGGTCTTGAACTCCTGGCCTACCCAGCCTCCCAAAGCTCTGGGATTGCAAACGTGAGCCACTGTACCCAGGTTCATTTTCTTTTTAAAGAACCAAAGTCCCCAGACATCCTTACTGGTAAATCTGTTACTAAGGTTAAGTATATAGTTTCTAGGAACCTACTTCAAGGACTTATTTCAAAACAAATTACTGTAGTTTTATAGTCAGTGAGATTCATCATATCTAATATTGGGTTCTACTTAGTGACTTTATTGATTCCATAGTAGATATGATGAATCTCACTGACTATAAAACTACAGTAATTTATGTTTTGAAATAAGTCCTTGGACAAATACCTTTTCAGCAATACAGTATTACAACTATAAATAGTATTAAAAAAAAAAAAAAGAGGAATTTTACTTACTATGGCGTCTTTAACAATTTGTTTGGCCACCTGTTCAGGTTTGCAAACAGATGTGGTCTCTGAAATAAGTCGAGTCTCCAAAGGCTAAAAGTAGAAAAAAATGTAAGTTATCAATATCATTATTGCCTAGTACATAAAAAAATTAATTATTACATGGTTCCATGATTTATAAATAATTTCAGTCTTCCACCTTTGATCAAATCTCCTCTTAGAATAAGGTCTATCTGGATTCTCACCAGTTTCTACCTGGTTACTATGTAAATAAAATTCAGCCTAGTAGTTAAAGCAAGACAAGGAGGCCCTTGTCATTCTCTTAGGACATGTGTAGTGTCAGCTCTGATGAGAACCATCAGAGCTAAAGTGAGAACACATCACTGGACACATCAAGAGGACATCCTCTTTGACACCTGCATGCTGGGCAGACACCTAACTGATGGTGCTTATGCCAAGGCTAGATCTTTTGTCCTGAGCAAGTCTGCTCCCAGGGCCATCAGAGGACTGAGCCCTGGGGACAGAGCTAAGGCCCCAAGCAAGCAAAGCCCCAACCCAGCCCCTGTTCAATGACTACAGCCTTGTCTTAAAGGACCTGCAGAGACAAGATGCTCAAGGAGCCACTTATAAGACAACATGGATTGGTCCCTAGTTGGCTGGTGTCTCAGGTCCCACATCATGGCCTTTTCTTCTTCAGCAGGTGCATTTCACCTCTCATCTAGCTCACAAGGCCTTTCCTAAAGTCTTAATGGGGCGTGATCTATCTCTCTTTCTCTTTTTTGTAAATATTTCTTAAATATACATTATAACTATGTGTGTATTTGCTTTTTTTTTTGAGACAGAGTCACCTGCAGTAGAGTACCATGGTGTCACAGCTTACAGCAAGCTCATACTCTTGGGCTTAAGCAATTCTCTTGCCTCAGCCTCCCAAGGAGCTGGGACTACAGGTAGCCACCACAATGCCCAGCTACTTTTGTTGTTGTTGTTGTAGTTATCATTGTTGTTTAGCAGGTGGGCTGGGTTCGAGCACACCAGCCTGGGTGTATGTGGCCAGCACCCTAACCACTAAGGATGGGCACTGAGCCTGTATTTGCATTTTTACCTCCTAAATTTCTTGTGGGAGACCAGGGTCTTTTTATTTATTTTTTTCCATTTATCTTGGGCTTGTTTTTGTGGGAACTTAAACATGTGTTGCTCAAAAATTATTTTTAAGAAGAGTTTCAATTAGGAGTTTCAAACTAAAGCCTTAAACCACATGAAACTGCAAATTTTATTTACTACATGGGCTTGGGAAAATTAAAGAAAATACAAACCAGAATATGTTTTCCTAAAATAGAAAAGTAAAGCACTTCATAAAAGTCAAGTATTTCTTGATGAACCTGAATTACAAGAAAGGCCCTTCTGAAGGTGCCACTATTCATTCTTCCAGACCACCGAGCTGGCACAATCGCGCTAGGTACACATCAGAGTTAAAAGCACCATTGCGCCCCCTAAGGGGCCCACAGATCAACATAGACATTTATTTACCCAAACAAATCTGACCAAAATGTTACTGGACCAAAACTCCCCCAGCTTAATCAACATCAGAAGCAAATCCTAAGAGAGAAATCACCACCCTTTGTCAGTTCTGGCTTCAAACTAAAAGAGTGTGTACTAAATGCTGCAAATCTGCTTAGCAGATCTCTGCTTACACAAAGACAGGACATTTGGCTTAAATTTACTTCTTTGAAATAGCAGTAATTTAAAAAGAGGCAGAGCCAAAGAAAAAAGAATAGCTTCTAAATCATAAACATCTTTCTGCAAACATAGTACAAGTCTGTGGAGCATAAGTGCCAATTTTTAGGCTACGGAGATTCACACTCACAAAGTATTACTATAGAAAAGAAGAAAACGAAAACCAGCAACTAAAATCAACCACAGTGCAAGGTGATACGTTCTGATGGATTCCTTTCTCCTCTACTTATTGGTTTGCTCAGACAGCAACTACTACGTTGCTGTCAAGGCAAAGAGGGAGCACCACTGAATAGAGTGTAAAATTTTTATTTCTGCTGACGTGCATAAAAATTCTGTCACATATCTTTTCTCTGAATATTTAAAATAATTCTTTAACAGCTTCTTGCCTTGTTTGATGGGCTTTATATTTTCTCTTATTTCTAAGGATCTTTACTTTGGGCTTTTGGTCTTATTTTTGTTATTGTTTCCTTAATTTACTATTTTCCTCTATAACTTGTATTATCTATTTCTTCTGAGTCCTTTTTTCTCTGTTGCTGTTATTTTAGGCTTCCTCAAATGTCCAGTGATCCTTAGTTGTCCATATACAATGGACATGTCCAGCTGTGGTAGTGCTATGGAGACCCAAATCATCAGACACACACTCCCCCCACCCAAATCATCTCTCCTACAATGGCAGACAATTAGAGCACCAGCTACCACAAAGAGTAGTTATCAGGCATCTTGGGGGAACTGGCCCTGGACGGTGAGTTCTCCAGCCCCCTGCCCTGCTGGGCTCTCATAATGCAGACAGCAAGTTCTAGTCTCTCAAGGGCTGGAGACTATCTGATTGCTCCCCAAGGAAACTGATCAATCCCTAGAGAAGGTGGCAGGTGCTAAATATGGGAGTCTTCTAATGAAGGGCCTAGCTTCCTCCTGCTCGTCCTATGATAAAGTAAACAGATGGTTGATAAGCCAGAGCTTTACAATTACAACTGGCATTTTAGTGCCTCATTCTTACATATGGACAACCAAAAATCATTGGATGTGGAGGAAAGGGAACACTTCTGCACTGCTGGTGGGAATGCAAGCTAGTACATTCCTTTTGGAAGGAAGTTTGAAGAACACTCAAGGATCTAAATGTAGACCTGCCGTTTCATCCTGCAATTCCTCTACTAGGTATATATCCAAAAGACCAAAAATCACTGGGCAACAAAGATATCTGTACCACATTGTTCACTGCAGCTCAATTCATAATTGCCAAGTCATGGAAGAAGCCCAAGTGCCCATCAACCCATGAATAGATTAATAAATTATGGTATATGTATATGTGGAATACTATGCAGCATTAAAAAAGATGGAGACTTTACCTCTTTTATGTTTACATGGATGGACCTAGAAAATATTCTTCTCAGTAAAGTATCTCAGGAATGGAAATAAAAAATCCAATGTACTCAGTACTACTATGAAACCAATTTATAATCACTCACACTTTCATATGAAAGTTGAATCACAACGATAGCCCAGGATGAAGGAGGGAAGGGGAAGGGATGGGAAGGGAGAGGGGTGGTTTGATAGAGGGCAGGTTAATGGTGGGACCACACCTATGGAGCATACTGCAAGGGTACAAGTCAAATCTATCAAGTACAGAACACAAATGCTTTAACAATGTGATTAAGTAAACGAGGTAAAATCTATGTTAATCAGTAGGATGTAAGCACTCCAATTTGTACAAATAATCAACACACTGAATCCCATACAGGCATAAATGTATTCATGATCTATGTATATATGACTTAATAAAAAATAAAGGGAAAGAAAATAAAATAAAAAGTTAAATTGTTTTATTAAAAGAAAACAAAACAAAGGTCTGAGAATAAATGTGGCATCAGATTACCAATGAAAACTCTGGAAGTTAGAGATCAATAAGCATCCACAAAAATCTGAGGAAACATTACTTCTAAACTATCTAAACTATAATCCTGCACCCCCCCCCAAAAAAAAACAGTCCATTAAAAATAAAGGGAAAATAATGGCATTTTCATTCTAAAAAAAGTTACAGCTGATGTGTCCTTTCTCAGGAAGTTATTGGGGGATAGAGCCACGAAAACAAGCAGATAAAGCAGAAAAGTGAAAGACACGGGGTCCACCACAGGCCAAGGGAATAGGGAGCTTGCAGTGTGATGGTGAAGACACATCACCGTCACCGGGCAGCAGATCTGGAATGGAGCAGACAGCAGGAAGACCCCAGGAGAAATGTTTTTGAGGAAAAAAGAGTAAAACTAACACAGTACCCAGTGTGCTCAAATGAATCAAAAGGAGATTCTCAGTCCTGTGTGAATCTGAGGTTGCATCTGTTATGAAGACACATGAAGCAAAGGAAAAGGAAAGAAAAGAAATGTCATTTACAGTGGCTCAGGTGTGAATACTATTTACAGAGTCAGATTACTTCAAACAATGAATCTGGGGCTGGGCGCGGTGGTTCACGCCTGTAATCCCAGCACTCTAGGAGACTGAGGTGGGTGGATTGCCTGAGCTCAGCAGTTTTGAGAACAGGCTGAGCAAGAGTGAGATCCCATCTCTAAAAAAAAAAAAGGTGAGCGCTGTGGTGGGCATCTGTCGTTTCAGCTATTCAGGAGGCTGAAGCAAGAGAATTACTTAAGCCCAAGAGTTTGAGGTTGTTGTGAGCTTTGACACCATGGCACTCAATCCCAAGGTGACTGAGACTCTGTTTCCAAAAAAACAAAAACAAAACACTGAATCTGATTTAACCAGAGGTGGGGGGAGTACATAAGGAGTGGAGACTTAAATTTTATCTTCTTCGGTGGAAAGAAAATGAATAATTTCTATATTTTTTTTTTTTTTTTTTTTTTTTGAGACAGAGCCTCAAGCTGTCCCCCTGGGCAGAGTGCCGTGGCATTACAGCTCACAGCAACCTCCAACTCCTGGGCTCAAGCGAGTCTCCTGCCTCCGCCTCCCAAGTAGCTGGGACCACAGGCGCCCGCCACAACGCCCGGCTATTTGTTGGTTGCAGCCGTCATTGTTGTTTGGCGGGTCCGGGCTGGGGATTCGAACCCGCCACCTTAGGTGTACGTGGCTGGCGCCTTAGCCGGTTGAGCTATAGGCGCCGAGCCAATAATTTCTATATCTTAAAAAAACAGCCAGCATAAACACATTAATTAAAATAAACAGCTGCCTCTTGGGAGCAGAAATCAGGATTGAGGAGATGAGGCCAAGGGTTGATACTGGACCTCTAAAACTGTGTGACTTATGTCTCTGATAAAAATTTGAAAAAAAAAATAATATAAACTTTGAGAAAGGTGGGAGAGAAGAGAAGAGAGAAAGAAAGAAGATTTGCCTAGAGAACCTCAAATAGGTTGCCAGAAACCAGCTCCACACTCAGCACCTGACTGGATGGATGCGGCTGACTGAGGAAAATATGTGTGAGCTGAAGAGTAGAAAGGAAATCAGAAAAGTGGCTCACAACACTAAAGCCTCAAGATGGCACCCATGGGAGTACTGACCTTTGTTTTGTTTTCTTCAGCAAACCCAGGGGTGTCTGTGTCTGGTGGGTAGGCGACTGTGACATAGATGTTGTACGGCTTCACCTGCATGTCAGAAACAACACGTGCACCTCGGTAAATAGTATACAGACTGAGGTCCCACCTTACCAACCCACACCGGCGGCCCTGGTTCTCAAAAGGTGCTGACACCAGTAGGGTGACTCCATGAGTGAGAACTACCACCAACTGCACCACGAAACTCTGCTCCATGAAGACGATTCTGAAATGGAGGCAAGGAGCTCCCCACCACCTTGACTCCAGAAAACAGCTGATGCTGAGGTAGAGCAAATCACCTCCTTCCCACTCCAGCCGCCCAGGCAGAGAGGCCCTGAGAGCTTCCAATGAGGAGACAAGATAGCGTTTTTTAAAAAACTGGTCTACCATCCCTTATAAATTGTACACTGTTCAAGCACTTTGTCAAGGAAAGGGGATTGGCCTGCTCCTCCCTCATTCCCTAGACTACAGATTTGTTTTCCTTTCAGGCTGCTTCTGAGACTTCAGTGCTGATTTCATCTTCAAAACATATTGGGGTTAAGAAAATCCCTTCCCCTGTGGCTTTGTTGTGCCCCCACCCCAGGTCCAGTCTGGAACTGTGTCTGCCCCTAAGAAGTCTGCGTATTTGAAAATGCCCTGCAAAACCACCCCCACCATTAAGAGGTCAGAAGTGACTTCTTCCGCAGAACCAGCAGAAAGTGTTTGCCCACCAGGAGGAACGCTGGTCAGACCAGCCAAGCACCTCCCCTGAGGACAAGCTTAACCCACATTTAAGAGACACCTTTGCCTTATCTGGAGCTCCAGCTCACTCCACCCACACTCATGAACATGCCCCAATAATTGCAACAGTTTCTCCTCCCCAGCCAAGGCACATGCTCCCCAGTCTCTGCTCAGCAACAGCCCCACTTCACACTCTTATCTTGCCCTAGTAATTAGGACAATAGTTTATACCATCAAAATCTCTTTATCGGGGTGTCTGTTTGCTACTGGATCATTTCTGGTCCTCAGGAAACACACAGGGGATGTGGAAGTGGAGGTACATCTGACAGGAGGGTCAAGCACTGCCAATCTTTGGTAGGGCACCCAAAGCTGAGAGTGGACAGCACCACTGCCTCATGTGACAGACTCAAAAGTATTCCTGGGGCCTGTCTTACCATGTGGCCCTTTTTCTCCCTAGTTCCCTTGGTGAAGCACAGTTCTGAAGCCTGTGGCAGGAGCTGCAGGAGTCAGAGAAGCATGCAGAAGATCTGAGACAGCCGTTGCAGAATGCACAGTAGCAAAGGGGGGATGCGTCACTGGTTCTGTTCCAGCACAGCCAGGGTCTGGGATGCCTGGCCACTCAACATCACCAGGGCATGCAGCTGCAGGGCCCAGCCACGCTCAAAAATAGCTGTGGATTGGGGCCAGGCAGAGAGGCCGATGAGCAAGCAACTTCCTTTTCACTGTTTCTGAGATAGTGGCTTTATATTAAAAAACAAACAAAAAAAAACAAAAAAAACTTGCCTCACACAGCCTTGCCCTCCATTGCACACAGACCAGAGAAAAACTCCACAAAGCAGCCTATCAGGGGTCATCTAGGCCTCATAGAGATGGACACTGATGGGTCCAGCACAGCTGCTTCTGTGCTATTCCTCAGGAGTCAGTTACGACTGGGGCACCTAAACTGATGGCACAGCACTGCTTCTGAAACTCAAGGTTATGGCTGAACTGAAGAGGTTAGAACAGAGCTTTTCAGAATGTTTTTTTCACGGGGTGGGCACACAGATTACTGGGGTTAGGAGAAACAATCCAGCCCCACCCTGGGCTGGTAACCTCTCCATAACCATCAAGCCAAATGACAGTTTATGGCTGACTACTTCAGTTGGCCAGTCACTCAACCATGCATCCAGTCTTACATTTATTCATCCAGTGAGTACTTACTAAATTACTACTAAGTGCTAATATTGTTCTTAGAAGGAAGGATATGGTTATGAATCTCCCTGTCCTCATGGAGATTCCAGTCTCCTGAAGCTCTTGCTCAAATAATTTGCTAAACAGTGAATGTACTAAACTCTATCTATACCTGTCTTTAATCTGCTGATCTTGTAACCCCATCAAAAAAGGAAATGAGCTTAGATTCACTTGCTCATGCTAAGACAATGCTAACTCCCTGAGATAACACTTTTTCTAAGAAGAGATAAGCCAGGTCTTCACTAGCTGAGCCACTGACTGCTTGTCCTTGTCTGTTACCTGGCCACTCTCTGTCCCCGCCCCCCCCCTCCGTGCCCCACTCCCATCCCCTTATCACTTTCTCTTTCTGCCTGACTTCAACCTTAAACAGACAACTTAGCACTAGCCCAACAATAGATTTATTATCAAAATAATCCACCTAGGACGTGTGGCTCCTTGTTCCATCAAAAGAAAGATATGGGGACTGAGAATATAGCTGTTTACAGGAAACTCCAGATCTTCAGCTTCAACTGACATCCAGATCACAGTGAGAGGAGATGAGGGTGGGCAGAAGCACAATAGGGGTAGGATATGCAGAAAGGGGAAACTTATTTGGGGGGAATTTTTGCTCATGTTTTTGGCCATAATACACCTTAGAAGTCTGCTTTCCAAAAAGATTGCCTTTAAAATCTTTAAATAATATATTTGGTTCTGAAAAGACTGAGTAGGAAAAAAAAAAACTGAAAAAAGAAATGCTAAGAAAGTATTCTTTGAAAATTACTCATTGTACCTACAACACTGCCAAGGTCCTTCATTAGTTTGAGGGGAATGGAAAGGAAGATAGGAAAACTGCAAAGTTACTTAAACCAAAAAGGATTATCAAGAGTACTGAGAATTTGAGCAATGATATAAGATTTCAATTATAGAAAAAACACAACCACCCTGACCAAATAATCCAGGTTTCAAGGAAATACTATAAATTCATAGGGAAACAACTGGTTTGATGTAAGCCCTAGTATAAAGACTTTGATAGCTGTCTTTATTTCCCCCTAATCTATTATTCAAGGTATAGGTTCATTTTGATTTGAAGAGAGAACATTTTTAATTGAGTTCAAATATGGACAGAAGTCAAGTCCATTTGAAAGTCCAGGCCAGCTACCTACAGCAAATAAATGGCACTTGTCACAGAGGGGTGGAGGGGACTCTCTGGACTGGTGATTCACTTGCTTTTTCTTCCTTTCATTAGCATCTCTGCTCTACCTGATGTGAAACCAGGCCACCCAGATTAAACACTTTGCCCCAAATCGGTGACACAACTCTGCAAAAAGCCCTAATGGGCAGATTTTTCATCTCCAAAACATCCTGTGACCTACATGGATCCTGAGACCAAAGTAACAGGCAGAGGCAACTAGCCAGATCCATCAAGGAACCCTGGACCGCACCACCTCCTGCAAAAGAGGTTTAAAGTCAGAGGGTTGGACCTTGTTTTTATTTCTGTCACTAAGTAACTATGTGCCTTTGAGAAACTCATTGAATTTATGAAAAACTCCGTTTTCTTATTTAAAAGGTAACATAACAACATCTCCTCATCTATCACAAAATTGTGATAAGGCTGGACATGGTGGCTCATGCCAGTAATCCCAGTGATTTGGGAGACTCAAGTGGGAGGACTGTTTGAGGCCAAGAGTTTGAGACCAGCCCAGGTCTCATAGCAAGACCCTGTCTCAAAAGTAAACAAAAAATCCTCAAACCAAAACTGATAAAGATAAAATGATTATTCACAAAGGGACTTTTCCTTTGTAAAGATTGCAAAAGAAATACTGAAATTCTTATTCGAAATTTCATAGCCATGTGTATCTTACTGGCTAAGCACATTATTATGATCTCTTATTGAATATTTAGCCAATTAATAATGGTACAATCTGTGCCTGGTCCCTTTGGTATGGGAATGGCACAGTTTATCAGTCCCTAAGTAGCACATCAGGACTCAGTTGGCTGTACTACAACGCTTGTCCAATATCTAGGTAGTGTGGCACTTCAACACACACCATCATGATCTCTTCTAAAGATCTTTTAAACAGGGTCAGCAAACTATGGCCTATGAGCTAAATCTGGCCCTCTGCCTATTTTTATAAAGTTTTATTGGAACACAGTCACACCTTTTCATTTATGTGTTTCTACTATGACTGCTTTCCTGCTACCACAGCAAACTTGAGCAGCTGTGATAGACACCATTTAGCCTTCAAAGGCTAAAATATTTATAATCTGGCCTTTCACCAAAAAGTTCTGCCAACCCCTCATCTAAGTCCTTGACCAGGTTTCCTAAAAGCACATTCTTAGTACAAGAAGGCTGGCCACCTGAAGGGCAGGCCACCTGGCTACCTTCACTTCAGGTAGAACTAGAAATTCTCTTCTATGCTTTTAACATTATGATGGGGTGTTTTATTTCAACATATGGTGGTCCCCCTTTGTCTGTGGTTTCATTTTCCATGATTTCGGCTATCTGTAGTCAACCAAGGTCTAAAAATAGGTGATTACAGTACAGTAAGATATCTTTATTTATTTTTTACTGTTTGGGATTCATTGAGGGGACAAAGAATTAGGTTGCACTGATTACATTTGTTAGATAAAATATCTTAAGAGAAGGAAACAGAGAGAAACCACATCTACATAACTTTTATTACAGTATAGTGTTATAACTATCCTATATTATTAGTTACATTGTTAATCTCTCACTATGTCTAATATATAAATTAGACTTTATCATATATATATATATATATATATATACACACACACACACCTTTACTTTCCTCAACATCTCTTGAAGGTACAAAAATATGAGCAGTCAAAAAGCCAAATGATTTTTTTATTCCAACCCCTCTCAGTGGACAGATGAAGAAAAAACAGAGCAAGTTAAATGACTAAACTAGCCTACAAGTTAAGAATTACACAGCAGCTGATTCAAGATTTTCTTTCAACCATATACTCATCTTGTTATTCAATCAAAAGGACAAATCTTTTTGTTAAAAGAAAAATCACTACAGAATAAAGTATTTTTGGTTAACCTTACCAGTATTCATACAGTATTGGACCAATAATACTATGAAGATATTACTAGTACTTTGTGTATCAAATTAAATAAGCAAAAATCCCATAACCACTTTTCCCTAATGTAAAATCTATAAATCTCTAATTTAATACAGTAATATGTAAAGAAGCTCTAAAATGAAAGAGAAACGTATATTGCGAGCTGAGGAGAATAAATACCAAAATGAATACAACTTTTACCTCCATCTGCAAAGCTTCAGCCAATCCCCTTATGGCAAACTTGGATGGAGAGTAGGCCGTGAAGCCGTAGAGTCCCAACTGTCCCGCCTGGGAGGACACAAACACAATCCTGCCCACCCGGCGCTCCTTCATGGTGGTGATCACTGCTCGGCTTGGGTACACGCTGCCCAGGTAATTGATGCTCATTAATCTCTGTAGGGACACATGAGGAATGAATGAGGTCAAAAGCCTCAAGGCTGCACTCACTGGGAAATTAGTCTGCTTTCCAGATTTAAGGTCTTCTGTGAAAGCTCAACCATCGACAACTTTGGGGTTTGGGTTTTTTCTTTTTTTTAGAGAAGGGATCTTGCTCTGTTGCCTAGGCTGGAGTGCAGTGGCCTGATCACAGCTAACTGCAGCCTTGAACTACTGGATTCAACCAATCCTCTGGAATCACTGGGATTATAGGTACAAGCCACCCTGCTCCACTTAGATTCATTAAATAAATGAATGACTAAATGATATTGCAGATGGAATGTGACATGAAACCTGTCACTGAAACCATAGGACTTACATGTGACGCCTATTTCAATTTAGTCTTCCCTTCTCACAAGGATAGCACTTATGTCTTTGCTGAAAATTGGTCAAAATTAGTTTTCTCCTTATTAAAAAGTACACTGCACACTGTGGATAATGCTTTTTGAAAGACAACGTTAGTAAAGAGCTTCCAAATATTTCTACTAGCCCTTAGTTCTCAGCCAAATCACAAAGAGAGTAGGACAGCAGTTAACAGCGCAGATTTTGGGTTCAAACCTTGGCTCTGCCAGATATTGCCTATCTGATTAGTAGGACAATCAGACCTCCTACCCATTTTCTGAGCTGAAAGCAAGCAATTTTATTACCACCTCCAGGCATTTGTACAAGGTAAACATGAGCACAGTAAGAACTTAAGAAACCCTAGTTCTTATATCATAGTAGCTAAAATATCACGTAGGGACTAATAGTTGATTTTCCCCTCATCTTGAGAGCTCTTAAAACTCTTAAGCTTCAACTTGAAAATCTAAGAATACTTGTATTTTTTTTCTTTTTGTATTTAACCAGATTAAACGCAGATAAGAATACTTGTATTAAAATGTTTCTATATTACTTGCATTAAAATGTTTCAAATATTAAAATACTTGTAAAAATATTTGATCATCATGTAAAACTAAACATTGCAATTGGGGGGAACCTAAGGTCAGTCATGATATATATATATATATACATACATATATATATATAATTATATATATATATTTTTTGCAGTTTTTGGCCAGGGCTAGGTTTGAACCTGCCACCTCCAGTATATGGGGCTAGCACCCCACTCCTTTGAGCTATAGGTGCCGCCCAATCATGATATATTAACTTAAGAGAACATTAGGTAACTTTTTGAAATGATGACCAGAAACAATGGGAGAGACAGGGGACATATCTCTGCTACAACTTGAAGAAAAGCAGAAGGCAGACTGCATTTACACTGTGACTGTGACTGTATGAAGCATTAAATGAAAGCACACATGCTTGGGTGCAAAACCAGTGAAATACAGACAATTGTGATTGTATCAAAATGCTGGGATTCTCATTTTTTCCCTCCTTAAAATGTGTTTTAATAGCATTATATTATTTGGATAATAAAAATGTTCTTAGAAAATATTTGAAAAAGATGGTATATTAAATCCATATGCTTAGATTGGCACCCTTTAGAGAGGTTTAAGACAAGAACTCACAGGAAATATGAATATAAAAATAAAAATAATAGCAGTAGGCCAGGCACAGGGGCTCAGGCCTGTAATCCCAGCACTCTGGGAAGCCAGGGTGGGTAGATCACTTGAAGTCAGGAGTTTGAGACCAGCCTGTGCAACACAGTGAGATGCTATCTTTATAAAAAAAAAAAAAAAAAAAAGAATAATTAGCCAGGTGTGGTGGCACCACCTGTAGTCCCAGCTACTTGGGAGGCTGAGGCAGGAGGATTGCTTGAGCCCATGAGTTTGAGGATGCTGTGAGCTATGATGATGCCACTGACCTCATGCCCAGGGCAACAAAGTGGGACTCTACCTTTAAAATAATAAAGAAAATATAAAATAACAGCAGCAATAACCTTTCAGGAAGCTAAAGAACAGAATGACAAGTGATTACTAAGTTAAGCCAACCACAGGAGAACACAAGCTAAGTGAGAGAAACTCAAAAGCAGGATGCACCATAGTGTCCCAACAGGCTCAACTTGCATCACGTGTCTCTAGGGTGAGGGCAAGGGTGGGTGACATGGGGCTGAAAGACAAGAGTATAGAACAAGAATTTGTTTAAAAAGGAGTTAGCCAGAAACAGCCCAAATGCCCATCCATGATGGCTGGATACACAAAGAATGGTACAGCCACAGGATGGAGCGTGATCCCCCTATAAAAAGGAATGAGGCACCGATACACGTCACAGTGTGGATGAACCTCGAAAGCATCATGCTAAGTGGAAGAAGCCAGTCGGGAAAGGGTATTTATCACATGATTCCATTTACATAAGATGGCCAGAGAGACAGACTATGGCTTGGGGGTGGTTAGGGCCGGGGAGTGTGGCTCGGTGGTGATCAGGGGCCGAGGGAGGAAGTGTAGAATGGGGAACAATAGCTTAGTAGAGTTTTCCTTTGGGGCGATGAAAATGTTTTGGAACTAGACAGAGGTGGTATCACAGCACTGTGAATGTGCAAAGGACCTCTGAATGGTTTACACTGAAATGGTTAATTTTATGTTCTATGAATTTCACTTCGATTTTTAAAAATCAATGTATGTTAATGGCAATAAAGAAAGAGAAAAGCAGCCAGATCCTAAATGTCTTTTCCCTTTCCATAGAGCACATCTATGCCCCTCTTCTGGCTGAGAGGAGACTGGAAGTTCAGGTTCTAGAAGGAGTCTGATAAAGCAAGAAGTCTATGTGAGTCTGTCTAGACCATGAACACTGAGACGCCAACTGTCTTCCCCAGCTTCACTGCAGACAGGAGTGCATTTCTTAGGTAGTAGGCTGGATGACTCTTTTGGGGGCTTCTGACCAAGCCAGGAGAAAGTCTAGAGATACTGACACTGAAATTTCTAATCACTAAGAGGGAATCCTAAAGAAATATGTTTAAAAATAGAAACATCACTAGATGGATTATCTTTTTACTTTGGTTTGATAACTCTAGTAAGTCTCCCTTCCAATTGTTTTGGTTTCTCCTTGTTAATAATAAATAACATGAACTTGACCTCAACACCTAACATCTCTTATTTTACCAAATGCTTTCTTGAGAATTGACCTAAGTGAATTGTTGAAGTAATCTGTGTCCGGTTAGAGGTCTCAGTTCCATTTCACAGCTGAGAAAAACCAGAAAAACTTGTCTAAATTCTTAAGGGGCAATGGTCATGGTACTGGGACTAAAATCCTGTTCAACTTTCCTCTGATCTCCTCAAACCTCCATGAACCTGTGAATGTGTTCATCGCTTTTACTTTTAAGCCTTTACCCTTGGCTTTTTCTATTTTAGCATATGGGCTATTCAAGTGAATAAACATTTTTACTTACTTCAAAACTACTAACATCAAGATCTTCAAATTTTCCTGACACTGCCATTCCCGCACAGTTCACAAGCATGTCCACTGGACCCAGTTTCTCCTGTGCCTAGAAAAATGTTATCAGAGCAGGTATTAAGAAAGAGAAGAGGAAAGCCACAGCAGCAGATGAATGCTAACAGATAACATCTAGACTATTAACTCTATAGGGAAGATTTACCAATTCCAAGTTGCATAGCAAAATGAACCAACCAAAAGTCCAGTGGATGAATTCCAACTAGCCCAACCTCTTACTTGTTTTATGACATTCTCTACTTGGTTATAGTCTTGAGATACATCAACTGATATACAAAGCACCACCTGTTAAAAAAGAAAAGAAAATGATCAAAAATACACAGGTGTCAAAACTACTTTTAAAAGATGCTTTAAAATGAAAGGCAATTCTTTCCAATTTTGAATGTACAGATTACAGCATTTGAAGTCTACTGGAATGTAATTAGTAAAGTCTAAATTCTTGGCAGTTTTCAGAGTTATGCAAACTCCAGAGAATGTTTAAAGAAATGTAAAAATGCTCCTCTTGAAATGCCACTAATTATAGTCACTGAAAGCAGATCAGGAGTCACCTGCAGCCAAGAGTGGGAGATGGAAAGAACTTTAAAAAGGCACATGTAGATTTTAGGAAGTGATAAAAATGTTCTGTGCATTGCAGAGAAGTTTTGTCTATCAAAAGCCACTGAACTACACTTCAAATGGGTGTGGCTTATCATCCATAAATTATATCTAAATAAAATTGTTAAAAAGAATAACAATAAATCTACTAGATAAGTTTTTAAAAGTATTTGCTTTGAAGCAGTACTGCCTATGACTACCCTATCAAGTTCTGAACACCTATTTGAGAAGTCACCTCAGATTAGGCTCACACAGGGACTGGTCAGTGACAGCCCAAGTGGACCATAGGACATTATCTGAGGAGGAAGGCCAAGGGTCAGTCTTGGCCTGTGGAACCTGAGCTGGAAGCAAGTGGCATCTGAGGTTTGCTTAAATCTCCTGACTCTGTAGCTGACTCACAGATTATCTGTCCAAGGGATGCCAAGCAGATCCAGGAGCCCACCCAGAACAAACTCAGCCATGCTCAGGGATCCACAGCAGGGTGAAGGTGGGGAAGAGCCCACCCAGCCTTTGCTTACCTCAGTCTATTCCATTTAGACTTTGAGAAGAAAAAAAAGAGAAAAAAAGGAAGGAAGAGAAAAGGGGATAAAGCACAGACGTGGGAGCTTACTTCAATAGGAATTTATGAAAAAGACATCAGGAGCCCTGATAAGAATGAACAATGTGCGATTGTTTTGATTTTTCTTTTTGAGTAGTGTTTTCAGATCCAGAGTTTACACCTCCATCAGAGGAACATTCTATGTCCCAAAGGAGGTCACTGCAGGAAGCAGAAAGGTGTTCTTGATTTCTCAGTCCTTCTATGAATTCTTCCTTTTTGAGACTGGCTGCCCAACCAGCAGGGAGAGAGAACATACGTGCGCAGAAGGGACATTCACGTGGGAACAGGATGCACCCGCATGGATCTGTGAGTCCAGTGAGCTCCAGTCCTGGCTCTACATTTCCTAGCTGAGCAGAACCTGAGAAGGGAGCAGTGGCCACCTCTGCAAATAAGGCCAATCAGACACCAGTGATAACCAGAATCCTCTCTGGCTCTGAGAAGCCATGCCAAAGGGCTGAATACAAAGAGACCAGGGCCTTACACTTTGATACAACAGGAAGGAAGTTTTATTTAATGCAAGGAAGACTCCCATCCAAATGATCCAAATTTCTAAGAAATGTAAATGCCCCCTTCACAAACATACCCGCAAGTGTCGGTACTCTTGGCTGAAAGTGGATTCTATCTCTTCTACATCCTCACACAGAAAGCAGTTTTTAAAAGCAGTAGGAATCATATGATTACTTTTAAAGCATAGATTTTCTTACAATATTAAATCAGTTACAGTAAATAAAATCTACACCACAGAAAACTGAAATTTAGAAAATATATATGTTTAGCCGGGCATTGTGGCAGGCACCTGTAGTCCCAGCTATTTGGGAGGCTGAGGCAAGAAAATCACTTAAGCCCAAGAGTTGGAGGTTGCTGTGAGCTGTGATACCATGGCACTCTACCCAGGGTGACAGCTCGAGACTCTGTCTCAAAAAAAAAAAAAAAAAATATGTTAACATATATGTTAACACCAAAAAGTCACCCCCCCCCCCAAAAAAAAGCCCATACAAGCCTGGTGGAACAGCCAAAGGTTCAAGCTCACTCTTGCCTGTCCCAGGCCTGATTATTTTCTACCCAGAGAGTTTCCCACCTACCCTACAGCCCTCTGATAGCTGAAAAGAGGGCAGAGATGATGCTGGCAACAGGCAAGAACGGCCTTGGCCTTGAGCATCCAGGATGCACAGTTTTACACTACACTCCTTTATCAGAATTACGGGAGTACGGAAAGAAACAGGGAGAGGGCAGGGATGGATTTGCAGAGTGGATGTTCTTCCAATGACTGTGGGTTTCCAGAAGGGGGTACAGGCAAAGGTCACAGTCACAGAGAAAAGCTCACATGTGTGCAAGGAGATACGGCGGACAAGGAGATTTACATGGAGCACAGATTGCAATAGCAAAAACAAAAAAGAAAGATGGGAACAGTTTGGCAACAGGTAGCTGATTTTAATAAACCGTTTTATTTAACTCCGCTGCAGCAGTTTAAAACATGAACCAGTTTTACTTAATTGGCATGGAAAGATCTCTAACTTATTCTGGAGATGGAAAAGAGAATTAAAACCAGAGAGAAATACTCTCTATAACTCATCAGAAAATCAAAAATTAAAGTCTGCCAATACCGAGTGTCGGCAAGGATGTGGAGCAATAGGATCTACGATCCAAGTGGTGGGATTGTGACCTCCTGGGCAAGGGTAAGGACCCATGACCACAACCCAGCAATTCCAATTCTAGATGTGTATCATTCTTGTACATGTATATAAAAAGACATGGGTGAAAACTCTTCTGAAAGCAAAAACAGAAACTAACAAGAAAAACTGGAAACAGCTAAACAGCTACCGATGGCAGAACTGAGAACAAAACGTAGTCTATATGTACAACACCATATATATGGCAGTTAAAAAAAAAGAATTAAGTCCTACCTTATGCAGCATTACAGAGGATTTTTAAAATAACATCCAATTAGAATTGGAAGAAATTGAGTTGCACAGGAATGCATAAAGAATGCATATGATAGAGACAGAAAGTAGATCAGTGATCGCCTAGGGTGGGAATGGGGAGTGATTGCTAATGGGCATAGTGATTCTTTACAGAGTGATGGTTATACAACTATGAATATACTAAAACCCACTGAATTGTACACTTTAAATGGGTCAATTGTATGGTGTGTGAATGATATCTCAATAAAACTGTTAAAAAAAGATAAAAACTGACCATCCCAAGCAAGAGCAAGACCCTACCTCTACAACACATAGAAAAATCAGCTTGTAGTGGTGGGTGTCTATAGTTCCAACACTTAGCAAGCTGAGGCAGGAGGATTGCTTGAGCCCAGGAGTCTGAGGTTACTGTGAGCTATGACTGCACTCTGACCTGGGTGACACAGCGAAACGCTGTCTCAAAAAAATAAATACATAAAACTAATACCATAAAGTTCAAAAAGGAGGAGAACTAACAACAAACTATTTAGGGTCAAATGCATATGGTAAATTGTAAAGAAAACCAAAGGATCAACACAAAAATCAAGTCTGGGGGTTGCCTCTAGGAGTGAGACAGGAGGGAAAAGCCTGCTGGGGAGCCCAGAGGAGGCTTCAGAGACTCGAGTAAATTCTATTCCTTAGGCTGGGCAATGGGTGTGAGGTGATTAATTTTTTATTATGTTTTATACTGAAATATATGCTATAAATGCCATTTTATATTCATCAAAAAATTCCACAACCAAAAAATTTTAAATACCCCTTTGCTCTTAAGCATCTGTACAAAACTCATTTAATAAGTAATTTAAATGAAATAATTTCCTAGTCAGACATTATGATATTTGACCATTTGTGGATGTGTATTGAGTCTATTCTTTTTTTGTTGTTGTTAATAACCTGAGTTCCTAGACAATTCAAACAATTTTACCTTTTTAAAAATAGTTTACTATGTATTTCAATTAGGAAAATCATACATGCTTTCAATTAACTATTCAGAGTTGACGTAATCCTTTTTTTCCTTTATATTAAAATTATGTTGACTTTTAGAAAAATGCATCCTGAATACAGAGCTTTACCTGTTTGTCGTTAATAGAGTGCTTTCCAATTTCCTTCTTTGCCTGTAGCAGCTTGTCCTGAAAGCAACACAGAACAATTAGTTCCGATGATTGTCTATACCTATGTATGTTTTCTGAAAAGGAGAGAAAAAGAAATTATTTGTCTAAGTATTATTTGTTAAATTCTAGAAAATACACAAAACAGCATTGACACTGCATAGGTGGACTGGGCCATAATCTAGGAAAGAAAGAAGCTGTAAATATGTTAAAATCTGAATAAAGGATAACAAGTTTTTTAAATTATTGCAGAGAAAGGTAACAGAAAAATAAATGAACCTCAAAACCCAATTAACAGGATTCACTGCTGATGGTCACACTACAGTTTTAATAAATGTTTTGATCTAACATTACTGACTTGTGACCTAAAACAAGAACAGACATTATCAATATGCAATGCTTTCCAGATTTAAAGGTATGTGTGATTCTGCATCAGGTGTGCTTTTGTAAGATATTATCCAAAATTTTCCTCCTCTACTATAAAAGCAAATATATTACAAATTACTTTCTTGATGAAATAGATAAACCTGTACCTGGCTACTTTAAAATACTTTGAAGGCAAGCAAACCTACCCAAGTAACTGAGTAATTCTTCCAAGGTCTCAATTTCATTTGTTTTACTCATTTTCAAGAAAACAGATACTGAATTATAATACCTTACCACAGAAGTAACTTAAATAAAATTATGACATAGAGAAGAAAAAAGGGGAGAAAAATCCTTCCAAAGGACGTGCAGGGTTTCTGAATGTGAACGTGTCAATCACTATTCCATTACTGAAGATACATAAAACCTGACTCTGCCAAATTTAGCATGAAAAAGTGTATTAGAAAAAAAGAGCAAAATAAGGAATTTCTTGATGTCAGAGGCTCTTCAGCGCATTCATCTCTAGCCATGAAAGGACCCTCTACAACCTCCAGAGCACCTACCTGAAACACAGGGCTCTCCTATCTTCATTTTTATTTATTCTAAGTCAAATAATGGCATTATTTAAAACTCACAAAGTGCCATGTTATTTTGTTTTTTTCATTCATATAAGATGGCTTCAAGGCCAAAGCAAACCATCCTTAGAGAAGTAAAGCTATAAATAAAAGACAGGCAGCTAATTCTGCCTTTCTTTGTTTTTAAAAGAAATCATGGATGTCCAGGCCTAATTCTATGTCATTATTTAAAGACTTTCCCCCAAAGGCCCTCCCTGGTCTGCCATTCCCCGGGCTCTGTTCAGCTGTCCACACCCTACTTTGAGAAGTTACTGCACCATATATCACCCTTTGATGACAGTGAATCCAAAATCCCCAAGCAAGGATACCATGCTGCTATTCCCAGGCTCTCCGTCATCCCTCCTTCCATTTCTTCTGAGCACATGGTAGGTACCAGGTATAAAAGAGCAGCAGCAGACAAAGCAGCCAGGGTCACTTTCCCCTCCCCATATGGTCAGCAAGAGGACTTCAAGACAGCTCTCGTGCACAGTGTCACTGCTTTGCACTCTGAAAACAATTGTGGCAAGAATACCAGATTCTGGCAAAAAAGAAAAACAACTTGCAGGAAAAACACATATTGCTAAACTTCTAGGGAGGAATAAGCTCTCTCTTATGGTGATTTCACTAGAGAAGGATTTCACTAGAGATATCCATCACGTCATAAGCAAATTATAGAGAGAAATCACACAGAAATGCCTGCACACCTGCTCCAGAATCACTGTTTCCGGCACCTCTGGCCTGACAGAGGGCCATGCCCGATACTTACAGCAAAGCGTGTGACTTAACTGTGTCCCAGCCTCTCTCAACTCAAGTTTTACAGTATCTATAATTATATTGCCTAATATGTTAATGGCATAAATAAATATTGAGCTGACCTGACTTTAGTTGAGAAGTGTTTGCCCTAAATATGAGAAAGAACCAATAATTCAGGAACCACATTTTAAATTAAGGAAGCCAAGTACTTTCTAGCACAAGTGCAAACGCTAAGACATTTTGCACAACCTTTTTGACTAATATATGGTTGAATAAGTTAGTATTTATAATAAGGAACCTAGAAGACTCACCTCATTTCGTGCAACCAAAGTAATAAATGCTCCTTGTTTATAGCACTCGATGGCAACGCACTTCCCAATGCCACTGGAACCTCCTGTCACCTAAAAACAAAAACCATAAAATCTTCTTAGCACTTGAAATTTCCTCTCTGTGGCAAAATTTTAAAAGATAACTATGATGGGCTCTAAAAACTAATCTATGAGACCTAAATGTTTAGCTATATTCAGACACTTAGATTATTTCTACTATTTTACCCTTATACATAAATCATGCTATAAGAAACACTTCTGACCCCATCCCAGGGTTTTCAAATCATTGTAGAGCAGATGTCTCCTATACAAATGCACCTACTTCCATGTGACTCACCTTAGCCACCTCTGAAGAGATTTCTTTGGTAAATAATTAACCAATTATCTGCATTAGATCACTCTAAAAATATACTTGTTGCCTGGGCTCATGGTCGTCTCTGAAGAGATCTTCGCTATTGGGATAATTCATAGGTTGTTTTGGCTTGCTAAATTTCACCAGATAAGATAATTCCATAGCAACTAGCAAGACCCCCCCTCCAAAAAAAATGTTCCTTACTATTTTATGATACTGTCCCTTATGCTTAGATGTCCATCCACCCACATGCCACACACACCTACCTTTCCAAACCCTAGGCACCCTACAGAGCCCAGCTCAAATGTCCCCTCCTCCATGAAACTTCTCTTGACTCTGTCACCCAGTCTTTCCTTTTAGTTGTCACGTCTACTTGTTCAGTAACTTATAGACGTATCTCAGCTCCCTTGCCAGACATCAGTTCCCTAAGGACAAGAACAACATCCCACTGATCTTACTCACTCCTAGAACACCAGATCCATTAGGCAGTTGCTAAATAAACACCTGCCTATGTTAATGTGAAAACTGGTGTACGAAGTCATTTCTCTAAAGTACAATGCCAAAAACCTCATAAATAAAATCTTCCTATTATTCAGTGAATTAATGGAAGTGGAGTTATGAGGTTATTGAGAAAATATATGTGCTCTGAAGTTATTGTCCTTTTTCTGAGACCATATAGGTAGCCTAGCTGTGTAAATTTACTACAAAGCAAGAACAGGGTATAAACCTTATTACAAAAGTCTGATGTCAGCTTTTGGATCATGGTTTGTGGGAAACCAATGTAGTCAAGTCAACTAATTCTTAGAAATTATCTAAGTATCCAAGAATACATTTATGCCAACTGGGTTATATTATTCTGAATGTTAAGAAAGAAAATATAAGGATTTCCACAAGGGCTGGAAAAAGTGATAAATGTCTACTGAGTTGCCTGACAACTGCTAATTCAAGCCTACACAGGGCACACTAAAGATAAAAGTTTAATTACCTTTATCATTTCCCTCCTACTGCTCCATAGCAAACATTGTTTAAGTGTTACTATTTCTTAAATCACATCATATAGTAAGGACAACAGAGGGATGTTTGCCAGGAGAGCTGCTCCCAGTCATCTTCAAATAGGAGGGGAGGTATAACTAACTCTATACTGTGTTGGGACCCACTGTAGTTTTACTCCTATGATTAGTGTGCAAAAAATTTTTTCTAAAATGAAATGATAAACAATTATAGGTTTGTTTATGCTCACACAAGCAGGCAGTCTAAAGATTAGGTCTCCTAATATCACCCAGTCTAGTCTTTAAAAATGTCAGGAAAAATAATTACAATTTCACTCTTCTTAGGACATTAATGAAGAAGACAGATGGTGACAATCATATGACTTATTCAAGTCATCATCACCTAATCTATAGTCTGAAATAATAATCCTTTGTTTTAAGGCAGGGTGATAAAAATAAGAAATTTTTCTTGGTCTACCCCAATGGACATGGTATTTATTACCATACCTACCACCTTTAGCTTTGGGACTAGAAGGACTAGAGCCAAAGTTAAGTGCAACTGTCTTATAAATAAGGAATCAAATTTTTCATCCTGCTTTTGTCTTTTTTCCCAAGTTATGCTATGCAAGTATGAGTTTTGAAAGAACATGCTTCTGCTTTTGAGGTAGAAATTAATTCTCTTGCGGATGTGACACTTTGGAGTTTAGTACAACTGCACTGGTTTTCTTTTTTTTTCTTTTTCCTTTTAACGAATGTAGACTCAACTCCTCATCTAACTTCCACAAGGAAAAGCAGGAGTTGGAAATATACTAATAGTTTTATATGGGAGAAATTTAAGAAAATACATGGTCTCATTCACAAACTCTTGCCCAGATTTAAAGAAAGGATCATCTTCTTCTAAAGTAGCTTGGAGGGGAGGCTTGGAGCACAGATGCAGACCCCATGTGCCAGGAAGAAACAGACTGCCAGCTTAGTAGCTAACTCACCTTATTCCTAACTCCCTGCCTCAGTGTGCCCTAGGTGTGAGGGGTCCCAATAAGAAAGCTGACAGAAAGCTACTGCCAATCATCAAGTGCTGGGCACAGGTGCCAGACATAAAGAACTGGGATCATAGAATACGTGAGTTCCCGGCCAGGTACAAACCAAACCCGCCCACATCTCCTTCGCTCCTAAAGCACTATCCGTGTCGTTAAGGTCACTCTTTTGGCTCTGAATTAATGGCAAAGGACTGCTTTGAAGCAGCAATCAGCAGACCCCGGACTGAGCTTAAAGACAAGAAGCGTATACTGGACAGAAGTGTTTCAACACCGCTGGCCACGACCGTCAGCCCACTGCGTTCAGAGCAGTTGCCCCCAGTTAAGTCACTCCCTGGAATCCTTTGGCAACTGCCCTTCCTGTCACTTGCACTGGCCATCTTCCAATTCCGAGCTGTCTCAGCGGGTCCGGAGGCTGGGACCTGCCCTCCCTGCCGCCAGCCTCCCAGCAACCCGGCCCACAGTGTCTGCACCCTTCCTGAGCACCGCACTCGGCACCCTGCGCGCCACCAAACGCTGTTGTCTTTGGCAAAGTTTCTCAGCCTCTCTCTTCCTCAGTTGACTCAGCAGGAAAAAATAAGGACAAAATATCCACATCCCAGGGATGCTCGTGAATTAAGAAGCAGCTACAGGCTCCTCAGAGCCTCGGGAACCCGGCTTGCTGGAGCCGTCCTCTCCAGCCCCGGGAGGCGCCAGGTGAACGGAGGGCGGGTCCCCAAGGCTGGGTATTTGGCCTGAGGTGACAGTGCCGGAGCGGACGACGACAGCTGACCTTCCCTATGTGGCCGTTCCTTCCTGGGAACCCAGGAGAAAGAAACGGCGGCGGCCCAGCCTCGGTCGGTGGCTGGCCGAGCGGGCCGGGAGGTCGGGGCGCAGCAACAGGAGTCCACTCACCACTACATGCGCTCCGGGCAGGGCGAGGGGCTTGGGGCTGATGAGCGGAGAAACCATGTAGAGAAGCAGCACGAAGGCCACGAGGAAGGCGGCAGCCAGCAGCAGCATCGCTTGGCCGCGGCGGCGGGGGCCTCGCAGGCACAGGCGCGATGGGCTCGGCGGCGGCGCGTCACGCGCGGCTAGCGCAGCGGGGCCGGAGCGTTTGGGTTCGCAGGCGCGGGAGGGGCGGTGACGGGGGAAGAGGAGGGGCCAGCGGGGCTCCGCCCACGCGGGGAGGAGCTTCCGGGTGGCTCGGGGCCGACGCTGATGTAAGCGCCGGCCGGGCGGAACTGGCGCGGCCCTTGGGCTCAGCGAACGAGTTCTGGCAGGGCCACCGCTTATCGCTAGTGGGAAGGGCCAGGTGCCTTGCTGCTGGGTTTTTTCCAAGGTAACCCTTAGGACCCCGCAGAGCAGGTTTGCAGCCCTCCCCAAACCTGCAGGCTGAGCGTTAGCTGCATCCTGACCCTGCGAGGCCCCCCATCTCGTGGGTCCCGCTGCCGTGCGCGAAGTACGCGGCGCATGGTAAACAATGGCTCGGCTCCGGATCGCGTCAGCGTGGAAGCCCAGAGATTAAGCTCTGAAATCCTGGCTTCCATTTCATATTTTGTTAGTGTACTGAGAAAATGGTCACAGCCCACTTTCGGTTTTCAGAGGACCAGCAAGCCTTAAAATGGAGTTTTGAAAAATCACTCAGATGATTCAGTTTCTTTTGGTTCAGCGTTCATATTCCTTACCAAAACTGGTTCAAAACAAACAAACAAAAATAACCCCCCCAGCTTTATTGAAATCTGATTCACATATTCTCTCATATAGTTCACCAAAGTATAGTGCATACTAAATGGTTTTTAGTATAGTGATGGGGTGGTGCTACCCTCACAACCACAAATTTTTAGAACGTTTTTGTCTGTCCCAAAGAAATAAATCCTGTGCTGGCTACTAGTCTCTCTCTCTCTGTCCTCCCTATCCCCGCCTAGTCCTAAGCAATCACTAATCTTTCTGTCTTCATAGCATTACTTACTCTGGATATTTTTACATAAATTATACAATATGTAGCCTTTTATATCTGATCTTTCCCTTAGTGTATTTTCAAGGTTCATCTACAACATTCAGATATATCAGTATCTCCTTTTTATTGCCCGGTAACATCTCCTTGAATGGATATACCACATTTTATTTTTCCATTCATCAATTGAAGGACACTTTGGTTGCTTCCACCTATGATTATTTTGAGTGATGCTACTGTGAACATTCGTGGACAAGATTTTGTGTAGACATGTTTTCATTTCTCTCAGATAGGAATCCAGTTGCTGGATCTTACCGCAACATTGTTTAACCATTTGAGGAATTGTCAGACTGTTTTCCAAGGTAGCTACATTGAATTTAATGTTCCCACCGAAGTATATGTGGGTTCCAATTTCTCACTTCCTCCTCAACACGTGTTATTATCTATCTTTTTTATTATAGCCTTTCCTTAGTGGATGTGAAGTCTCTTTGTGGTTTTAATTTACATACGACACAGGTTTTTATTTGTTTGCTTGCTTTTCGTTCTTTTGTTTCTAGAAATACTAGGGAGCTAAGATACAAAAGAAATTGATTTATATTTTTCTTTTCTTGACTTATTCTCCAGAGTTAGCCAGACTGTGAGATTTAAGAGCATAATTCCCAAGACTTCTGACACCAGTGCAAGTTTTGAGGTTCCCAAACCACCTTCAGATTTGACAACTCACTGGAAGGACTCATAGAACTCACTGAAAACTCTGTGAGTCTTTATGGCTACAGTTTATTACAGGGAAAGAACACAGATCAAAATAACCCAAGGAAGTACGTGTACAGGGCGAAGTCCAGAGGGTTCCAAATGCAAATCCTCTGCCTTCTTACGGAGTCAGGATGTATTACCCTCCCAGAACTGGTATGTGACAGTGTGTTTGGAGTGTTGCCAAGCAGAGAAGATCATCTGAGTTTCTGTGTCTTGAATTTTTATTTGGCTTCATTACCTAGGCTTCAATAATTGTCTGCGAAGTTGAACTGTCTGCAACTAGAACGTACCCTACACCTAAATCACATGGTTGGTCTTTCTGGCATGGCCAGTCCCTACCTAAACAAAGATACTCCTATCATGTATGACAAACATAACTTCCCAAAAGCTGAGGTCAAAGGCCAAATCTTTTCAGAAGAGGCTGAATTCTATTCTGTGCAGGCTGGTACTTGGCCTTCGGCCAAAGCAATCTTACAGCAAAATGAACATATGTCCAACATTTGAAGGAACTATTGTAGAGTAGTAGGCTTTTAACCCAATTACCCAATACATTTGCCCATCAATATGAAAATTATATTCTCGGCTTAGCGCCTGTGGCTCAAGTGGCTAAGGTGCCAGCCACATACACCTAAGGTGGCGGGTTTGAATCCAGCCCAGCCCGCCAAACAACAATAATGGCTGCAACCAAAAAATAGCCAGAAATTGTGGCGGGCACCTGTGGTCCCAGCTACTTGGGAGGCTGAGGCAGGAGACTCGCTTGAGCCCAGGAGTT